GTTATGAAGTAGCAACAAAAATAATTTTATGGTTGGGGTCACCACAACATGAGGAATTATATTAAAGGGTCACACCATTAGGGAGGTTGAGAACCACTGCCTTAGATTAATAGTTTCTCAGCCTGGCTGCACATGGAATCACCCAGGAAGTAGAAATAAGCCCCACATGATGGCTGGTCCTTAGATCAAGCAGGCACACCATCTCTGGGCAAGAGCCAGGCATCCACATTTTAAAAAGACACACAATTTGAATATATAACTAGATTGTGTGATTTGCACAAGTACTGTTCAAACTTGAAGTGATGTGAATTTCTTGTTTTTTTTTTTTTTTCAAATACATAGTCAGATTTAGTAGAACTTGAAAATCTTCATTGTGTGTGTGTTCCTTTGAACACATGCATGGAAACCAGAGTTCAAAGTCTGGCATCCTGTTGTGTTACTCTCCATCTCATTTTGTTCTTCAAACTCTCACTGAACCTGGTACTCACCAATGGTAGACTGGCTGGCCACTGAGCTCCAGGGATCCACCTGTCTCTGGCCTGGTTACTGTTGCAGTTACAGACACACCCTGCCATATCCAGCTTCTAAACTGGCCTCTGCAGGACCCAGCCCCTAACTTTCGAGGTTGATGCCATCCAGGTCCAGGGTCAAACTGACTGAAATGGTAGGCTACTTACTTGGTGCCCTTGGTGTTGAAGGATTGCTTAGTTTAAGGGGCACTTTCCCTGTCTCACATATATTTGGTGTCAGAAGTACAAGTGGAGGCAGCAGCAGAGTCAGTGAATGAGAAGCCTGGCAGAGGCCAGCTTACCATTCTAAAGCACCAATAACAGCTGCTGCTGGAGAGTGGGAAGGGGAGCATCACAAAGAGCCAGGAGACCTGGCTTCTAGCCTCTTCCTCCACTATCAGACTGTGCAGCATGGTAGCTGTATCTGGAACCATCCTATCTCTGACTTGTCATTTTCATCTACAGAGCACCGATATTGTTCTGTACTCCATGGCTGGCTCCAAAAGTCTGAGCCCTTGAGTCATGTGTCTCTCCACAAGAACAGCCCTTTCTAATGCCATGGGGGTGAAGCTGAGAAACACAGAGCACAGAGTTCACCAGCCAATTCTTCCATGCAGGAAAATGAACCCAGTGTTGATGAATCTTCACAAGAAACCAGAAATGGATATTTATAAAAATAAAAATGCAATACCCTAAATGTCAACAAAGCCTGGGCCAGTTTTATATCTTGCTGTCTTCAAAGGAATTTTTCTGAGGATTCTTACACATTTTCATTCTTTTTAAAAATTTTAATATTTTCCTTTATTCCCAAGAACTGAGGATTAAACCCTGGTTGTTACACATGTTAGGCTAGTACTCTGCCACTAAGGTATATTCCCATCAAAAGATAAGAAAATAAGTGCAATTTCTTTGCAAAACATTTAAAAAAAAAAGCTTAGATAGGAAAACATTAAACAACGTTTTGCAGAAAAGTATCTCGTCAAGGGTGGAGTTGAGATCATCCTGTACTTGCTGCTATGTTTCCCGAATGAACATCCTAGGACCATTCTCATCTCATGTCAATGAAACGGTCCCCAAGAACTTTTAGCTTCTCCTCCCACTAGTTTTTTGAGGAACCCCACTTACAACACAATGAGGGTGAGGATGAAAAAGAAGTGCACACTTCCGATGAGGTTCTGGTAGATCCAGACGACCCACAGGTAGCCAGACCTTCTGCTTAGGGTATCGATCCAGCTGTAGATGGACTCAATGAAGGAAGGCAAACCTCGGAAGGGACCACAGTCCGCTGAAGGTTTCAATCTGCAAACAGGAAACAGAAAACCATCTGCCACCTGGACTCAGATGCAGGCATTCCAGAACCAAGGGATCCCTTCTGGACTCAGGCTCTAGAAACAGAAAATCTTGCCTGCTCTTCCCATACTCTTCTTCCAAGGGAAGAACTCTCACTGTCTGGCCTGGTGTCACCTGCTGTCTGAGGACCGGCTCTTAGAGTGCTACCACCTGCCACAGTGACCAATCCAGAATTCAGGCAATGGTTTAGCAGTATCTTGGGAGTGATCAGAAAGTCTTCCTTGGGAATGTGACTTCAGACACACTAAGTGGGAGGTTTGTTAGCTATGGAAGCCAGGTGTGACATTGTGATCATGTGCTGTCAACTATTGCAAATGAGCAGAAACTGGAAGATTGGGAAGAGATAGGGTAGGGAGTAGATATGACAAAAGCAGCAAATGTTGGGGCAAGAGAAATGGCTCAGAGGTTCAAAACAGTTTCTACTCTTGTAAGAGGAGCTGGGTTCAGTTCCCAGCACCCACATAGTAGCTCACAACCATCTATAACAGTTCCAGGGAATCTGACCTTCTCTTTTGTTCTCTGCAGGCACCAGGCAAACATGGTGAACACACATACATGAAAGAAAGCTCATACACATAAACTGTTAGCCATGGAATGATGGGTGGGATGTGGACCTGAGGAAGGAAAGGGGTAAGGGACCCACAGCAGCCAGGGGTGACTGAGATGCTCAGGCCTAAAGCTGACCTTGGGGCTGAGACTCAGAGGGAATGGGGAGACCCCTTCAGAGAGAGGACCCTGCCCACAGAGAAAGGGACCTACTAGGGCCTAGACATGGAACAGAAGCTTTGGGGCTGCACTGAGGTGGAGCCAAACGGTCAGGATCCAGGGCAGACAAGGCCTCTGGTTCAGTCAGTCAACTTTCCTTCTCAATGTTGAAGAAGTTGTCTCTCCCAGTCTGGGAAGATTGAACAGTTGGCAGAAATTAGGAAATGGCTCCCAACTATGATATATCCTATGGTATAGGATGTATAGAATAAATCCCGGGTAGGATTCACACACCCCTCCTCGGTCCTTGCTGGCTACCCCAGGAACATGGGATGAGCTCTGAATTCAGCACAGTTTTTATTCTGATGTTTGCTGTCTGAGAGTCTTATTGACTCTGGGGAGACTTCCTTTCCCAGGACTAGTCTAGGAAGCATGGCTTCATATGAAGACCTGGTATGGAGCCTGCAGCACAGCCACCTCTTTTAACAGGCTTTCACAGTTGGAACATGTTCTCAGGCCCCAGTTACCCCAAAGTCATGATCTCAACAACCTACAATAGCCCCTAAGACTGCAGAACCTTCAAAAAGACTCAAAGTGGCCAGCTCTAGCCTTGCCACCCTGCCTCATCTGTTCCTTCCCTGGAAACTACAATAAAGGCTTTTGTTCCTCATTCCACCTTCCCCCTGACCACCTCTGCATTTCCCTCATGTGGCTCTGCATGGCATGGAGAATCTGCCTTTCTTGGGAACTGTGAGTAACAAACTATGATTTTGATGGCAATTGTCTCCATATCTGGAGAATAAAACCCACATTTAAAAACACACATGTCTCTGCCCCGTCACTAAAACCTCAGGCAAAGCCACAGTCCCTACCTCCAGATGGTGATGGCCAGGGAGCACAGCACTCCCGTGAAGGACGGGAAGAAGAGCAAGAAGATGAAGAATGTTATCATCTGCGAGGCCCGCCAGGCCTTGCTTGGAGGTTGGAAGTTCATCATCAGGCTGATCTGAGGAGAAAAAAAGGAGCCCTTCCACCTGTGGCCAAGGAGCAGCCCTCAGGACCCCACCATGTGCCAACTCTCCAGCCATTGATGTACAGCTTTCTGGTTTTGGCTTCTGACCCCTCCCCACGCCCCTTTTCCAGCTTGGATCCCCAGCAGGTTAACAAACTTGGGTCCAACTCACATTTTTGACATAGAACATAATGAAGAGAGTGATCATTTGGATAAAGGGCAGCAGAGGGCAGAAGAAAATTCCAAGCCTGTGAGGAAAACAGGAGTGTCAGAGACCTGGGGAATTACAAGACATACAGGGGACAGAGGCAAGGGAGAGAATTGTGCACACACTCGCACACACACCCACACCCACACACACCATGGTACCTCAAAAAAACATGACTGGATTTAGAGGTAGAGTTGTTAAAACAGTAGTTAAGTTAGAATGGGAATATCCTAAAGTCTAGAAAGCCTATCTGTAATTTGTATAGAGAAAGAAAAAGATACCATGTTTTCAACTGTGCTTATTAACAGTCAGTTCAAAATCCCAAAAAGCAGAATTATTGAGTCCAGGCATGGTGGCGTATACCTGTAATCCCAGCACTCAGGAGGCAGAGGCAGGTGGATCTTTGTGATATACACATACATACAATAACAATTAGTGACAAAAGAGACTGAATTTGAAGGAGAGCATGGAAGAGCATATGGGAGGGTCTGGAGGGAGGAAAGGGAAAGAGAAAATAAATTATAATCACAAAAACTAAATAAAAATGGAAAAGAAAGCTAGCTATGCATCAGCCAGGGAGCAAGCCAGGGCCAAACACATTCTTGCATCATTTCTGCCTCTAGTTTTCTTTCCTCAGTAATGGATAATAACCTGGAAGTATGAGCCAACCCCCCCCCCTTTCCTCCCCAGGTTGCTTTTGGTCATGGCATTTGTCATAAATACTGAGGTCAAACTAGAACAAGCAAACACCTACTAGCTTGATAACTACATCAGCATCCTTCTTCTAGATTGGCAGATATGTGGTTAGAGTAATCCATGTTCCCGAAAAGCCCTAGAGAGTGTGAATCGGGTGCCTCTCATCTCCCTGTCATTTAGGCAAATTACCAGAAGATGGCAGCTCCATCCCAAAGGAAGAATTGGGCTATCCCATGGTAGGGTTTGTTGTTTTCGTCTTTTTGTTTACTTTGTTTTATGTTTTTGTTGTTATTGGATCCCCCCCCCACACACACACACACGCACAACAAACAAAACAAACAACAACAACAACAAAAAAAAACGGGGTCTCACTTTGTAGCCCCAGCAGTCCTGGAACTCACTACACACACACACGCACAACAAACAAAACAAACAACAACAACAAAAAAAAAAAACGGGGTCTCACTTTGTAGCCCCAGCAGTCCTGGAACTCACTATGGAGACCAGATTGGACTTGAACTCACAGAGGCCCACCCTCTGCCTCTGGAGTGCTGGGATTAAAGGCCTGTGCCAGATAATCCTGTTGTTTTTAAATCACAAAATAATTTAAGAGTACTCACAAATGCTGTGACCCAGCCACTCTGTTTCTGGATAGATAGCAGAACAACTGAAAGTAGAATCTCCCAGAGGTGTCTGTCCATCCATGTTCACAGTGATCCTGTTCACAGCAGTAGGATGATGGAAGCCACCAGAATGTTCACAGACAAATGAATGGATAAACAAAGTGTGGTCTGACACACACAATGAGGTGCTGAATGTGCTTATAAAGGAAATGCTACAAATAGGTGAAATGAGCCAGACACAAATAGACAAACATTGCCTCCCTTAGGGTGTGTCTAGGGTAGTCAGAGCATCGAACTAAAAAGTAGAATGGTGGTTGTCAGGGGCTGGAGAGAGTGATGGGTGGGGAATGGTTTAAATGATGTAGTGTTTCAATTTTGGAAAATGAAAAAGTTCAGAAGATGGGTTACAAAGCCACCTGATGATTCTTGTTATGTATTAATGTCTGTTTGAGACAAGGGCTCATTGTTTAGCCCAGGCTAGCCTTAAATTTGTAATCTTCCTGACTCGGTCTCGCAGTGCTGGGATTATAGGCATGCACCACAGTGTCCATCTTTGTTGTGCATTATCTGGTGCATGTATATGTTTGTGGTTGAGTGTGCACATGTGTGTACATGTGCATGGAGGTCAGGGCTCCATTTTAGGTGTCTCCCTCATTTACTCTCCATCTTATTTTTTTTTTTTTTTACGACAAGGTCTCTCACTGACCTGGGACTTGGTTATTTGACTAGATTGGCTGATCCTCCTTTCTCCATCTGTCCAGTGTGGGGATGACAGACCAAACACACACCACCACACTCGGCTTTCATATTGGTACTGGGAATCAAGCTCAGTTCCTCGTGCTCCTGAGGCAAGTACTCTACTGACAGAGCCACCTCCCAGCCTAGTTATGCACTATTAATGAATAATCATAAAAGAGCTCATAGAATGACAGCTGTAGAACCCCCACTGACAAAACATTTCTGAGCCAGACACCCAGTGAGCAGACACATCATTTTCTTTAATCTTCCAAATCTCCTGCAGCAGGAACTATTATCTCAACCCTTTACCAAAGGTGTCCTGGTTGTTGAAATAATGTTGGTGGATGAACTTGAAATCAGTCTGTGGCCTGGCAGTGGAGACACATCACCATCTAAATACCAAAGAAAAGCCCTCCCTTGCTGGAAAATCTATTCAAGGACAGTTATCTGCAGACAACCAGACCACCTGGAGCAATTTTAATGAGACAAAATGAGGCACTTGGCAGTTGCCTGGCCTGCTGGAGTTTGCAAAGCTCTGTTCATCTACTGTGAAATTTCATCTTCAATGTAATTTGAAAGCAGCTACTATTATATGCAAGTTCTAGGAAACTGAAGCTCTGAGAAGTGTGAGTGGCAGGGCTAGCCCTAGAACCCAGGTTTATTCAATCCCTAATTCATTGCTTTGAAATTAGCAGTTTCCCAACAGATGGAACCTGGGCATTTGACATGACATGCAAAACTCTGGTGTTGACTCCATCATGTTAAAATAAGTAAGGAAAGAATTGCATGGGCTGGTCTAAGGTTTTTAAGTGAACCTGTAAGACAGGATGGATGCCAAGGAGTAGAGTGGGATATCTCAGTGGTGAAACACTTGCCACGTCCTTATCATTCATGAGAACCCAGGTTTGTTCCCCAGTACCACCACAAAAATAAAGCAAAATGAAATTCCATGATAGAACTAGATGGCCATCCTAGCCATCCTGAAAAACAGGGGAGGAGGGGCGGGGAGAGATAAAAGGAGGAAAGGAGGGAGGAAACAGAGGAGGGAGGACAAGAGGAAAGGTGAGAGGAAGGAGGGAAAGAGGAAAGGAGGAAGAGAGAGACAGAGAATTCTATATCATCTCCTGTGTTTTAAGGATTGGTGATTGGACTGGGCATGGCAATGCACACCTAATCCAGCACTTGAGAGGTAGAGGCAGGTGAACTGATGTGAGTTCCAGGCCAGCCTGGTTTACATAGTGATTTCTAGGTCAGCCAGGGTTACACAGAACTACCTTGCTCTAAGCTGCCTCAAACAAAGTAACAAACAAAAAAGTATAGTTCAGTGATTAAGAATACTGACTGCTCTTTCAGAGGATCCAGGTTCAATTCCTAGCACCTACATGCCCGCTGGTAACCATCTATCACTCCAGTTCCAGGGCATCTGGTGCCCTCTTCTAACCTCTGTGGACAATGCACACACATGATGCACAGACATACATACAGGAAAAATACCTGTACACATAAAATAAAATAAAAAGTATTGTCCATTGCATTACTCACTTGGAATACTATGACATGAAAAAACACCTTTAGCTAGTCAACTTTAGTCCAAGATTGAGTGGTTGGCAGATTCTGTGTCTGGTGAAGCTAACTTCCTGGTTCATGGATGAACCTATCCTAACATGGTAGAAGGGTCCAGAAGCCTCTCTTGGCCCTCTTTTATAAGGGACTAATCCCATTAATGGTGGCTCCACTTTAAGACCAAATCTTCCCCTAATACTATCACTTTGTTTTCAGCCTATAAATTGCATGGAGCTGGGGTCACAGCTTAATTGATAAAGTGCCTGTCTTGTTAAGTATGAGGACCTGTGTTCAATCACTAGAGCCTAAATTTAAAAAGCTAAGTATTGTGGCATGTAGTATTATAGTAGACCTGGTAGGCAGAGTCAGGGCTTCCAGGGACTCTCTGGCCTGCTTAGCAACTACTAGGTAAGTTCCAGAGACTGACCCTGCCTAAAAAAAAGAAAAGAAACATTTTAAAGAATGAACAGCCGGGTGGTGGTAGCGCACGCCCTTAATCCCAGCACTTGGGAGGCAGAGGCAGGTGAGTTTGAGTTTGAGACTAGCCTGGTCTATAAGAGCTAGTTCCAGGACAGCCTCCAAAGCCACAGAGAAACCCTGTCTCAAAAACAAAAGAAAAACCCAATAAATAAATAATTAAAAAAGAACAGTTTTAAAGAATAAGGCACAACACAATTGTTTTCTGGCCTCCATATGCACACACACACACACACACACACATGTATACACACACACATGAACAAGCTCATACACTTGTGTACACACACACACACACACACACACACACACACACAGAGAGAGAGAGAGAGAGAGAGAGAGAGAGAGAGAGAGAGAGAAAGCATTTTAGGTAGACCACACATTCAACACTGTAGGGGGTAATCCAGAGAGCTAGAAAAAGTACCGTGGCAGGGGTGGAAGGGGTAGGGGTGTGATGGAGGCGCTAAACAAACCAAGCCTGTGGCTACCTATGGTCTGTGGGTCTCCAGGTTGCTACCTTGCCCTAAGATGACTCTTATCTGACATCATCAAGGACTCTGAGGGAAAAGAATGTTCTAGAACACATGCTGAATTCCTAGCTTTCAGACTAGCTATGCTTGCTATCACTCACACAATATTTTTTTTTTGCTTTGTTTTTTTAAAGACAGGATTGCTCTGTGTAGCCCAGGTTATCCTGTAGACCAGGCTGGACTCCAATGCTGAGATTAAAGGTATGTGCCACCATGCCTGGACACCCCTGCAAGATTTTTAAACAACAGATCAGGGACCTACAACCAAAACTCCCAAGTCCACCCCCAGGTGGGAACTGATGGGGTACTCTACTGCACTGCAAAACTTACCAGGTCAGTGTTTGTGCATAGATAAGTTCTAGAACATTCCTGGCAATGTCAAACTCCTGTAGGCTGAGACTTGTGATGAATTTCGTCCCAATGAACCTGTGAAAATGTACTGCATTTAGTACTCCAATGCCAACTGTATCCCACCAACCAGAACAAACAGCAGCAGAGACCCCCAGTGGCTAAGAATGAAGTTGCAGGGCCTAGAGCAAATGTTAAAGAAGCGAGTAGTTGAAGGAATTGGGGAGACCTGGGATTAAAGCAATGTAGTCAATTAGGGAAGTCTACTGTGAAGACTGTGAACAATTCTAGAGGACATTGGCTGCCCTCATTATTTAAATTAGCTAACCTGCTTTCTGGTTTATCCCAATCTTTGTTTATTACATTTTTTTTTCCGTGAAGCAAATAACCTGAGCACCTCCCAACCCAAATGCATTTTTAAAATTGTTTTTTGGTGCTGAGGATGAAGCCCGGGGACTTGCATATGCTAACTATGCACTCTACCGCTGAGCCAACTAAGCCACATGTATGTTTACTGCTCTAGAGCCAGTGATGGTCCCTGTTCCCTGAAGATATAAACAAGTTCTCTATATACTTTAGTTCTCTTTTTTCTTAAACATTATTTTCATTAATTCTTTGAATATATCACACAATGCATTTTGATCATATTCACTCTCCCCCACCCATATCCACTCTCTGCACCATCACTTCCCTACCCACCCAACTTTGAATTCTCTCTTGCCATCAAGTTCAGTTTGTGTTGCTCCTGGGAGTAGAGCCTGCCCTGGTGTGTGGCTGGCCTGTCAGGGCTTACATCATTCTTTAATGGCATCTCCTTTTCTCTTACTATTATTGTTTTGACTCTTTTTTATGTGCCTGATATGTGCATATGTGTATCTGTACATTCATGTGTGTGTACACGTGGCATGGTGTGCGTATGGAAATCACAGGACCATCTTGGTATTAGTTCTCCTGTTCTACCTTGTATGAGACAGGGTCTTTCGGTGAGCTAGTTTTGGGGGCTTCTCCTGTCTCCCATTAGGAGCACTGGGATTATGGATGTGCCACCACAACTGGCTTTATGTGGGTTCTGGGGATTCTAACTCAGGTCCTCATGCTTGTGTGATAAACACTCCACTCACTGAGACATCTCCTCAGCCAGGTTTCTTTTTCACATGGAAACAGGGAAATTTTCATCTCCCCCAAATTTCTGTTAACAAAAATGCTTCTCCCCTTTACAGTCAGGCTGTGGACAGAAGCCAGAACAAAAGCCAGTTTGGACAGAATAAATTTTAACACTCAGTCTCCCCATGGAGAAAACCTGGCATGATGACATGGCATCTCATGCTAAAGAAGCTGGTGTGTCCAGGGCTGGGGTGTGGCTCAGTGGTAGAGAATTTACAAGTCTCAGGCCTCAGTGAAAGCAACACCTAGAAAGAAGAGGTGCACATCAAACTACTACAAGGTGAGTGAATAAAAACAGAATAGAACCTTCACAGGACTAGGGTATGGCTCAGTAGTGGGATGCTTACTTGGTACCACGAGACTTTGTGTCTCTCCCTACCCCAGCACTGCAAAATATAAAAACAAAAAGGAACCACATCTGGCCAATAGTCACAGTGCCTCTGTCCTTGCATCTGTACCTAAAATAAAGACCACGGTCTGCTGCAAAAAAGCATCGTCTAAAAGGATCCCACTAACCTTAAACAAGGATCCTGTGCTCTGTGCAGCAAAACCATTTAACTGCACTTTTTGGAGACTATAGAGTATGATATAGTATGCACACTTGTGGCAATGTGTATGTAGAGAAATTGGGGGTGGAGGAGGGACAAGTTGAGTGTGATGGTAAACATCACAGCACTCAGAGGCTAAGGCAGGAGGTTTGCTAGGAGTCCAAGGCTGGCCTGTGCTATGTAGCAAGTCTCTGTCTCAAAAGGAACAAACAAACAAACAAACAAACAAAACACCTACAAATATGGAGGGATACACAAATATGTGTGTGTACACACACACACACACACACACACACACACACACACACACAGACACGGTTTCATATATATTAAAACTATCTATAGTAGACAAGGATTTTAGCACGGGCTGGAGATATGGCTTGGCTGTTAAGAGCACTGACTGTTACGTCAGAAGATCCAAGTTCAGTTCCCAAGACCCTCACTGAGTGGCTCACAACTGCCTGTTAACTCCAGTTGACGTTCTCTTTGGGTGCTTGCATACACAGGTGCACATAAACTCACACATATATGCACACACAATAAATAAATAAAGATAAACAATAACAACATAAAAATCTTTAAAAATAATACTCATGTGGTTGGAGACCCAGCTCAGTGGGGCAGTGATTGCCCAGCACATCTGAAGACTTAGGTTCCAGTCCCACATCACAGACAAAATAGAATGAGAGAAAGGGAGTGACAGATTCCAAGTGGCTCAGTTTCTGTTTTATTTCTGGGATTTTTGTTGGGGTGGGTAAACCTAAACCCAGTGAGCTCTCAGGTTCAGGTGGAATGTAGTTAAGTTAGAAACGAACAACCCCTGAAAGGACAATGGGCGGATTAGACACACACAGCAGACATGGCTGGAGCCCATGCTTGTGCTCAGCCAGGAATCAGTCTCTGGTTACAGAACCACTTACAACTGAAGAATGTTTACCTCCTTAGGAACTCCCCCAGTAAGGAATCAGCCAATGAGAACACGAAGTCCATGAGAAGAAGCCGGTAGATGTCCTGACCAATGAGGGTCTCCCAGCACTGGAAGGCAGACATGAGTCAGGGTCAGGAAGGGCTGGTGACCCTGCTCAGAGCTTATGTAGGCACAATTTGACCATACCCTTCGTACCCAGAAAAGCAGACTTAATCTGTAAAAACAGCCAGGTGTGTGTGTGTGTGTGTGTGTGTGTGTGTGTGTGTGTGTGTGTATTCATTCTCTTTCTGCACTTCTTTCTACCACACAAGGCTTATTACTGCTCATATGTACAAAAATCTTATCTCACAACCTCTACTTCTAAGATATTTCATCTCTGCCCTGTCCCTTCTAGACTCCGTTTCCATACAGGACTAAGCATTTTCCTCAGTAAGAAGCATGGAGGACTAACAATATTCCTTCCTCTTTCTATTTATTGACTTCTTCATTGTATAAATATATGGATTGTATTATGACTGGATAAATGGATGATGGAAAGATACATGGATGAGTGGATAAGTGGATAGATGAATGGATGGATGAGTTTTAGGGGAATAGATGAGAGTTGAATAAGTGGATGACTCTATTTATGAATGGGTGGATGGATACATAAATAAATGAATAGATGGACAGAAGAATAAATGTATAGCTATAGCATGATATGTTCTCTAACACCCTAACTTGGAAAGCTGGTTTTGAGTATCTTTGATGACTGGGTGCTTGCATACACAGGTGCACATAAACTCACACATATATGCACATACAATAAATAAATAAAAATAAACAATAACAACATAAAAATCTTTAAAAGTAATACTCATGTGTGGTTGGAGACCCAGCTCAGTGGGGTGGTGATTGCCCAGCACATCTGAAGCCCTAGGTTCCAGTCCCAGTCCCACATCACAGACAAGAGAGAATGAGAGAATCTTCATCTTTAGTGAAGATACCGTGTTATGAAAATAATTTGAGCCCAGACATAGTGATGTTGTTTTGGCCAGTATGGTTCCCTTGGGGACCCAGTGTGCCCTAGCACTTTGAAGTGGAGTCAAAGAAATAAGGAATCTCTTACTCTTTCATTGGACAAAAGCTAAGAAAGTGTATGATACAGAGGGGTTTTTTGGTCATGGAGGAAGCTAGTGTTAGAAGCAGAGGTATCCCAAGGAGAGAGCCTTGGAACCAATGAGGTTATCTTTCTTGAGGACCCCTGGGGCACCACTGTCAGAGTGCAAGGACCAGAAACCTATAGTCTGAAGCAAGAGAAGGTGAAAAACCATGTTGAGTGTGGGAGAGGCAGAGACAGTCAGGGTTAGTATGTGAGTGGGTAGATGAGCTACATGTCTGCGTATCAGCAGAGCCCACAGTGTCTGTCAAGAAGGATCTGTGCTTAACCTCAAGCTGTTTGGACAGATTAGCCTCAGAATCACTGTCTATTGTGTGCCCACCATAGGTTGGTCACAGCTGATATTAAATAGTGCCTATCCTACAGACTAAAGAGAAGCTAAAGAGATTGGGTTATTTGATTGACATCTCAGCTTTTCCACGAAGCCCTCTTATTTTAAGATGCTTTCCAGATGAACTTCCTCCCCTCTTCCCAAAAGGGAGTGTGATGGCTGTCAGGAAACTAAAGGCCAAGCAACAAACTCAAGGCAGAACAGCACATAAATCTCACCTCTTCGCCAGACAGGGCCACGATGTTGAGCCAATAGTAACAAAGAATTCCAACGATGGAGATCTTCAGAAGAATGTTTCTAAGTAACAAAAGAGGAAATGGTTCTGGTCACTCCCATTGGCAGTGTTCCCTGTAGACATGCAGTCGGACAGACATTTCTGTCTACCCTCTGAAGCTGGATATATCCATAGGATGAGTTCTAGCAGGTGAACTATGAGCAGATGTGCCATGTGTCAGTTCTAGCCTTGAGCACTGCATGTCACTCTGAGATCTTCCAGAACCCACTGACCTTCTTTGCAAGGGCAGTCAGCACTACCTCAGATGTGTGTTGATGCCTCAGCCTGGGTTCCTTTGTGACTAACTTCTCTCCAGTCCACAGTGTACATGCAACACTGGCAAGAAGTAAACATTTGTGTCTGTATCATTGAGACTTGGGGAGGATTGCTACTGCAGCAAAAACTTAATCCATTCTGACTAATACACTCTCTTCTGTTGACCCTGCAAATGAGCCAGTTTTTCTCCCAATTAGAGCCCATTATGGTAATAAGAAATGTGATATATATATATATATATAGAAGCAAGCCCCCATGGCCATATGTAGGAAGAGACTTTCAGGCAAAGGGAACAGTCAGAGCAGAGGCAGGTATGGAGTTAGACATGTCTGAGAACACCCAGCAGGCCAGTGAGGAGCATGGTGAGGTGAAAGACAGAAAATGAGGCTGGCACATGGCCCTAGGGTCAGATTTCTGAGGCCACAGTGAAGAAGGACCCTGGAGGTGATCTGTAAGGGCATTTTACGCATTGTGAAGATCCACAGTTAAGAGTCAGGAGTTAGCAAGAGAATTGGCCAGGAAGAGGCTGCAAGGACAGAAACTGGGTAGCTTTGATTGTTGTTTATCAAACTTTGGCCACATCTCTTGTACATAGGGATGGGCATCACCAAGGGGTGCCACCTTTAAGCCAAGGAGACACCAAGAACACCCTTCCTTCTCTTGTGTGAGGCAGTGGGTACCAGGGCTCCTTAAGAACCCTTGCACAGTGTTGTCCATCTCTTCATGACACTTGAGGATTAGGTTAATCCCCAGGCCAGCAGCCATTGAGAAAGGTAAACCACCATCTAGTAAAAAAGCATTCATACTCCATAATCATCTTTTTCCAGGGTTATTTGAAGGCTGTTGTGTTGGATAGTTTTATGTTGACGTGATACAAGCTAAACTCATCTGAAATTAGGGAACCTCAATTAAGAAAATGCCTCCATAAGATGAGACTGCAGAAAAGCCTGTAGGGCATTTTCTTAATTAGTGATTGATGGGGGGAAAGCACAGCCCATTGTGGGTGGGACCACCCCGGGGATGGGTGGTGGTCCTGGGTTCTGTAAGAAAGCAGGCTGAGCAAGCCATGGAGAGCAAGGGAGTAAGAAGTACCCCTCCGTGGCCTCTCTATCAGCTCCTGCCTCAGGTTCCTGCCCTGTTTGAGTTCCTGTCTTGACTTTCTTCAGTGATGAACAGCGATGTGGAAGTTTAAGTCTTTCCTCCCCAACTTGCCTTTGACCATGGTGTTTCATCACGGCAATAGAAACCCTAACGAAGACAACTGTTAACTCATCACAGGACTCACTTCATTCCTGGAATGCCTTCCTTCAGGAATGGAACTTTGACATTTGAATGGAACATCTTCTAGATCTTAGAAATGAGCTAAAACCAGGTGTAACACACCTACCGGATCAGGAGGATGTAGACTTCCTGTCTTGGTACCTCGTACCTCTCCACTAGTCGGAACATGGAGTAGAAGCGAGGCACAACCAGGTTGATGCAGGACACAACAAATGGCAGTAACAGCACTGCCCCAGGGTTCCTGTGCGTCTTCAAGAACTGCAGGGTTGGAGGATAAGCTGAGAGGTCCATGGAGCTCTAGACCCTCTCCGAATACTCAGAGGGTCTGAAGTAAAGAACCCCCCTCCTCAGCTCCTCTGGGGCATACTGAATCTCAGAGAGGTAAATACATTTTCCCAGGGTCACCCAGCAAGGAAGCATTCAATCAGAACAGTGGTGGTTAGGGTGTTTTGTTTTGTTTTGTTTTGTTTTGTTTGTCATCTTGATACAACCAAGAGTCAAGTACCAAGGGGGAACCTTAACTTAGGAACTGCTTAGATCATACTGGCCTATGGGTGTATTTGTATATTTGTGGGGTATTGTGTTGACTGGTAATTGATGCAGGAGGGCCAAGTTCATGGTTGGCAGCACTATCCTTAGACAGATGTTCCTGGGCTGTATAAGAAAGCTAGCTGACCATGAGCCTGTGAGGGAGCCAGCAAACAGTGTTTACCCATGTCCTGCCTCCAAGTTCCTGCTTGAGTTCTTGCCCTGACTCCCCCAGTGCAGACTGTGACCTGGAAATGTAAGCCAAATAAGCCCTTTCCTCTCCAGGTTGGTTTTGGTCAGAGTGTTTTATCACACCCACACAGTGAAACTAGGACATCGACCTAAACTCAAACAGCTCTGCCAGGACTTTTCTCCTTACAAGATGCCTTGGGTTAGGATATTGAGTTTTCTTGTTGTGGAAACAAAATCTATTTTAGCCGTGGTACAAGGGGACTAAACACCCTGGGATTTCTCCTGCTACTCTATTATTATTATTATTATTATTATTATTATTATTAGGGGTGGGTGAGACAAGGTCTCATTATGCAGCCTTGGCTATCCTTGGAACTCATTATGTAGATCAGGCTGGCTTCAAACTCAAAGATATCTGCCTGCCTCTGCCTCCCAAGTGCTGGGATTAAAGGCCATATGCCTCCATGCCTGACCTCCATTATTTATTTATTTTTTAAAACTAAAATATAACTACATCACTTTCTCCCTTCCCTTTCCTCTTTCTCATTCCTCTCCCATGTATACCTACTCTGCTCTCTTTCAAATTCATGGCCTTTTAAAAGTTGTTATATATATTATATGCATATATACTCATAAATATATCAATTCAATGTGCTCAGGCTGTATAATTTTACTTGTATGTATATGATTTCTGGGCTGACTGTTCCTGCTATTCTTGCACAGCCTGGGGCAGGTTCACCAGGCCTTCTTTGTGCTAAGAACTGAACTGGGGAAGAGGCTAGCCCATGCAGTGCCTTTACACAAGGATGCAGCCCCCTGGTGGGAACCTCATAGGCAAGAAGAGGGCTCTCTGTCAGGCATGTTTTCTTGGAGCAATTCCTGTGGGTGTATTTGGTGTTTCATGTTTCATTTTCCTTCTCCTGAGGCCTGATCCCACCTGTATCCACTTCTAGAGGCCTTGAAAGAGCCCCTTGCCCCTTGGTATGTCTTTGGAACCCTCCTATCGTAGGTAGGATGTAAAGTTACAGGCCTGTGTGTTTAAATACTTGGTCTCTAGCTAGTAGCACAGTTTTGGGAGGCTGTGGGACCTTGGGACATGAAGCATGGTTGGAGAAAATGCATCACAGGAGGCTAGCTTTTGAAAGGCAAAGCCCAGCCTTTGGTGCCTCCCATATTTTCTGCATCTTGCCTTTCAAGATGGTTCACCCCCTCCCACCTATGCTAACCATACCCAGCCACCATGTCTTCCCCTCGAAGATGAACTGACATCCCCTAAAATTGTGAGCCAAGGTAACTCCTTCCTCCCTGGCACTGCTTCTTTCAGAACACTGAGGAAATTAAGTGACATGTCTTGGTCCTGATGCTTCCTCTCTGTCCCATACTGAGCAGCTGAGGAAGAACCGGGGTAATTGGCATCTCTGAGCCAGGGAAGCATCCCTCAAGCCATAGAGACTCATTAAAATCCAGAGAGATGAGAAAAGGCCAAGCCTACCCATGGGAGTCATGGTTACTAGTGATTGACAGCCACCAGTGATTGACAGATACCAGTGATTGACAGCCACTGGACTTATGCCAACAGTTGGTCCTGCTCAGCTCAGAGCAGGTGCCTGGGACAGGGAATGGTCCTAGGACTTCTGTCTCTCACTAGCTACCCTGCACTTCAGGGCAAATCCTGCAGATGCCCGGCCACAGCTTCTACCCCATGTGGTCAAGGACAGACCCTTAAAGACTGTGACTCAGTTTTCCATCTTTAAAGTCAGACTTTAACATGACCAATGGCAACTTTTCAAGTTTGTGTAATCCCATACTCATTGTTTTTAGACTAGAGGTGAGGCCAAGAAGATTAAGCCCTGCAGGGAAGTTCACCTGTCTGTCAGACTTACTGAGCATCTACTCTGGCAGCTGTCACGGGGCCTGGGGACAGAATAATAAGGAATGCTGAGTAAACTCAGCACCAAAGCAGGAAGATCAGGAGTTCAAGGCTAGCCTCTGTTGTATAAGAAGACTTTATCTTAAAAAAAAAAAAGAAAAAAGAAAAGAAAAGAAAAGAAAAAGAAAAGAAAGAAAAGGCAGACATGAGAATCTGGTCCCAGGTCTCTGCCAAAGTCCCATCTCCACAGAAGCCTAGTGAACCTTGTCCTGTGATGATGTCATGACATGCCTGGGAACTTAAGTGCTTATCTGAGTTTGGTCACGGGAAGAGGGGTGGTTCTGTAGTTTGAAGCAAACCTCTGTGAGTGCGGCTGCTGCTGCCCATGGGGCCCTGCTGGAGGCTTCAGTTCTGCATCTGCCCCAGCAGCATCCCACTCTGCCCTAGCACTCTCTGCTCTGTCCCCCAGGGTTACCTCAGAGTTGTACTCTGCCAAGTAGTACACAGCTAGACAGCAGGCTGCAGCCACTCCAGTAGAGACCAGCCAGGCAGCTACATGAGCAGAAAATTGGGTCAGCTGCTGGTTGAGTGTGAGTCTGTTATTCTCCTGGCGGATCTCAGACAGGTTCTCCTGCAAGTGTCAGACAGTCAAGTGGACCCACTGTCAGCAGAGATCCCCAGGATCATACGGTCAGTCCAGACCACACAGGAGCTGGAGGGGAAGTCTGTGGTCAAGGTGGATCATGGGAGACCAAGGGAAAATCTCAGGATGGCAGAGAAGCCCAAGAACTTCAAACTCTATTTCCACCTTACAGGACCAGAGAGACACAATAGACCTGTGTTTTCTACTTTACTTCCCCCCTCTGCTCTTTCTTCCTCTTTCCTCTTTCCCTCCCTCCCTCCCTTCCTTCCTCCTCCCTCAGTCTCTCCCTTCCTGCCTGCCTTCTCTTTTATCTTTGTATATGGGGAAAACAAAGGTCTTACTATGTAGCCTAGCCTGCCCTTAAACACACAACTCTCCAGTCTCTGCCACCCCAGGATGGCAGGTGTACAACTGTACACCACAACAAAACACTCAACAGGAGACTTTTCTTGATGAACAAAGCCAAGTACCACATGGAAGAGAAAGTCAAAGCTGTCCTCAAAGCCCTTTTATGGATAATTTATAAATACTACTCACTCTTTTTTGAGGGGTGGGCTTTGTTGTTGTTTTTAATTTGTTTTGTTTTTTGTTTTTGAGACAGTGTCTCACTTTGTAGTCCTGGCTGACCTGGAACTCACTATGTAGATCAGGCTGCCCCCGAGATCCAACATCTGCTTCTCAAGTGCTGGAACGAAAGGAGTGGACTACCACACCTGGCTGTGTCACTTGTGCTGGTAATTCCCCTTCTCTGAGTAAAATTAGCTTGTCTCTGGAAACCAGGGCAGCTCAGCATCTGCATCTGTAGCAAAGACTGTCCTTTCCTTGTACACGAGGAACTTCATGGCATGCCAGATCTCCAACCACTAGACACTACTGCACCTTTTCCTAATTGCAGCAACTGATAAAGGTCTTCAGAGATAGCCCAGTGTCCCCGTTGAGGAACACAGTTGTTCCAAATGGAAAGCCACTGCTCTAGAGTAGAACTTTCAGTGTGGAGGTGTGCGTTCAAAAAGTGGATGTGTTTTCAGATGAATTAGAAGCTGACCTCAGTGAAGGCTGAACTGATCACAAAGCCTGACATGGAGTGGAGAGTCCATTTCCCCCATGTACTGGCTGGCACTTGGTATTACCAATAACTTAGTATTTTACAGACAAGTCCAAGAGTGAAGGCAAAGGTCTATAACCTCAGCATCCAGGAGCCTGAGGAAGGAAGATCTCAAATTCCAGGTCAGCTTGTGATACACATGAAACCCTATACTCTCTCTCTCTCTCCCTCCCTCCCTCCTTCCCTCCTTCCTTCCCTCCTTCCCTCCATCCTTCCCTCCCTCCCTCTCTCTCTCTCCCCTATCCTCTCCTTCTCTCCCTTGTTTTTTTTGAGACAGGGTTTCTCTGTGTAGCCTTGACTGTCCTGGAACTCCCTCTGTAGACCAGGCTGGCCTCAGACACACATAGATCTGATTGCATCTGCCTCCCAAGTGCTGGGATTAAAAGTGTGTGCCACCACTGCCCACTTCAAATCCTATCTCAAAAAGAAAGAAAAATGGAAAAGGGAAGGAAAACTGGGGGGGCGGGGGCGGTGGCTACAGATACACAGGGATGGGAGAAGGCTGGTGGGGCAAGACTCTGGGGTCTGGGCCTTACCCTGATCTCTGTACTCAGATTCTTCTGTTTTAGCTTCACAGCTTTTTCATGGGTGACAGTGAAGTCCCAGCAAAAGACAAGCTTAGCAATCCCTCTGGAGTAAATATGGGGGTTGATGAAGTTGTTCCGGAAGTACTTGGCCATGCTAGAAAAGGCAGAAACCAAAATGTCCTAGCATTATTATGAAGGTGTTGAGGCATACACAGACCAGGCATGTTTCTGACTGATAATAAAAAGCAATATGGGCAGGCCAAACTCTTCCCTTAGAGAAGGGGAATTCCCTTCACTGTAATCACCAGCACAATGGTCTACAAGTGATGAGAACAGACAGGCATAGCTTGGAGTTTGTCTAAGATGAGCCTTAGGGGCTGGGGAGATAGTTCAGTTGGTAAAGTATCTGCCATCCAAGAATAAGGACAAGTTCAATTCCTAAAACCCATGTAAAAAGCACCCTGGATATGGTGCTGCACACTTATAAGCCCAGCACTGGGGAAACAGGGACAGATGGGTCCCTGGAGCTCATTAGCTGATCAGTCAAGCCTATTTGGCAAGTTCCAAGCCAAAAAGAGACATTATTTAAATATAAATAAATAATGAAAAACAAGTGGACACTGCTTGAGGAATGACACCCAAAGTTGTCTTCTGGCTCCACAAATATGTACACGCGCACACATACAAATAAAATAATCCCTAGAATCAGGTCAGAATCTGTACCTGAAGAGCAGACTGAAGAAGCAGACGACCAGACAGGCTCCGATTGTGAAGATGTAGGCCAGCTGCATGTTGTAGAATGGTCCGCTTGTCCCATGTTGGATTGTAGAGTTGGTGTAAAACCCATAATACATCACTGTGTCCCTAAAATAGCCCTGACAGGAACAGTAAAGAGATCCAAGTTAAATGGCTTGGTTGAGAAAGGCGAATGGCAATGTATTTCAGGTCTCTGCCTGCAGTTAATTTAGACATTCATGGTCACTTCTTGGCATCCAAGGAAATCAGCTCTGGAGTTGCTGAAGATACCACCAACAGCAGATAAATGCTTAAGTCCCTTGCATGCTGGGGCCTAGTGTCCACACAGGACCTGTGCCCATCCTCCCACATCCTAAATCAACTTGAGATGATGAACTTAATGCAGCATGAATGTTCTGTACGTAGGTGTTACGGTATGTAGATTAGGGAATAAAGACAAGGACTGCTTACATGCTTATAGACATCATTCTTATTGTGTTTGTGAATGTGTACATGTGCACATGAGTGTGTGTGTGTGTGTATGTGTGTGTGTGTGTGTGTGTGTGTGTGTGTGTGTGTGTGTGTCGAATGCGCGGGCACGCACGCACGCACGCACGCACGCCTGTGTGACCAAAAAACAATCAAAGAGGAAAACATTTCCAGACGTCAGGTCATTTTACTCTCAAATTCTCCAACATGCAACTCTGAAAAAACAAGAATCCATTTCTATGCTCATGCCACCATTATCATATATAATGCCTTTAAGAGTAAATATTCGACAGGCATTGGTGGCGAATGCCTTCAATCCCAGCACTTGGGAGGCAGAGGCAGAGGCAGGCAGATCTCTGTGAGTTTGAGGAGGCCAGCCTGGTCTACAGAGGGAGTTCCAGGACAGGCTCCAAAACAATACAGAGAAACCCTGTCTCGAAAAACAAACAAAACAAAAAAACAAAAAAATGTGTGTGTCTTATGGGCTGGAGAGATGGCTTGGAGGTTAAGAGCACTGACTTCTTTTCCAGAGGTCCTGAGTTCAATTCCCAACCCCCACATGGTGACTCACAACCATCTGAACCTCCAGTTGCAGAGGATATAACCCTCTTTTCTGGCCTCTGTGAACACTGCATGTGCTTCGTGCACATATATCCATGTAGGCAAAACACCACATAAAATTAAAAACTCAAAGATTAAGAGCGTTTGCTGCTTTCCCAGAGAACCTGAGTCAGTGCCCAGTTCCACATTAGGTAGCTCATAAACACCTATAACTCTAGCTCCAGGGGTCCTAATGCTCTCTTCTGACCTCTGCAGGTACCCCCCACACATGTACACACACACACACACACACACACACACACACACACACACAAATAAAAATATTAAAATTTTTAGAGGATACACCCCAGCTTGAAGAATTAGAAGAAAAAGAGAAGAAACAGATTTCTGACTTGAGTCATGCAAGGGAAAGAAAACAAACAGTAGGCAGCCTGTGAAGAATACTTATCTTTCATAAGAAACAAAAGGATGGAGTGCCTGGTTCATGCATAGATGGTTCAAGCATGCAAAGAAGTGGGGTGTGGGTAAAACAACTTGCAACACTGGTTGCTTCAGTGGCTTGCCTCACAATGTCATGCACCTAATATTTGAGGAAGAACAAGCCATTTCTCCATCAGACAGAATGAGAGGTCTGAGTAAGTCTACAGCATTCCCTGGGATTCCATGGTGGTGAACTTCTGCAGAGGACAGAGCACTTACCGCCCCTGTGAAAAACTCCAACCCAGTGAACTGGAGGGTGTTCTTCTCGGCCACGGTGAACTGCGGGATGATGATGAAGCTGAAGTTCATGACAAAGGAGAAGATGTTGAACTTCAAAAGCCACCTCAGGAAGCTGAAATAGGACAGGACGCTGGTTCCAAACTTGCCCCCGATGACCTTGAATGTCTTCTGCCAAAAGCTGATGTAATTGAGCAGCTCTGAAAGGTTACCCTTGCTTCTGCGGTAAGCCTGGAGTGCAGAGGCAAAGAGGAGTCCTGATTCTTAGCTCCCAGGTGTGTTGTAATAGCCAAACAGCTCTGCTCCAACAGCCGTATTCCCGGCCAGGCAGCTTTGAGGTACACTCACAAAGATGGCTTTGTTCATGTTCACAACAATCCTCTCATGTACCCCTCCTGTCACCTGCCCAGGTTATGCTTCCAACGGCCAAACTGGCCACTAACATCCTACCTTTTCACTCCCACACCTGTGTTGGCCTGTACAGTCTGACTGTTGGCTCCTTTTCCCTCCATCCCCTTCCATCCCTGACTCTTGACATCACTGTTGTCACTCTTTTGTTGAGCTCTTTCCTCCATGCTCTTCTACCCCTGACCCTTGACCTTGCTGCTGTCCCTGTCTTGTTGAGCTCATCCCATTTACAATGAGATGCAAATCATTTTACCCATATGGGTGAGCCCCAGAACAGAATAAAAAAGAAACTACAAATGATACAGCTATCCCCCTTCCAGGTATGTGTACTGGTTATTTTTTTTGTCAAACTGACACACACCTAGAAGTATCTATGAATTGGGGGCCTCAATTAAGGAACTGCCTCCATCAGACTGCCTATAGCCAATCTTTTGGCGGCATTTCTTGAGTGGCTGAAGTGGGGAGGTCAGCTCACTGTGGGCTGTGTCACTCCTGAGCAGGTAGGTGCTCCTGAGTTGTACAAGAAACCTGGCTGAGAAATCCATGTGGAATAAACTAGTAAGCAGCACCTCTCTCTGTTTCAGCTCCTGCCTCCAGGTTCCTGCCTTGATTTCCTGACCTGAAGTCCCTTCACCATGGACTGTGATCTCAGAAGTACAAGCCAAATAAACTCTTCCCCCCCGAGGTTGCTTTTGGTTATGGTGCTTTATCATAACAATAACAATAGAAATAAACTAGCACAGTATATAATGAAAGGAAATGAAAGCAGCACACTCTGGAGTTCCCTGTAGCATTATAGCTAAAATCCAGGGATAAT